TCAACAACTTTATTGAGTTGATCTGACTAAAGATCTATGAGGATAAGCAACAGCACAACATACTAATTATAGAGTTATGCAGTGAGGTAGCAACAACAAATGACTAGTTAGTGAAATAGTTACACTAAGGAGTATTTTGCCAAGCAATGTGACACTTATACTTACCCAGCATCAGCACAAATCTTTAATAACAGATATTCTTGTAGGTATTTCTTTTCCTACAAATTATGGTCATAACGTGCAATTTCATCGCTTCAACGTAAGACATAAAGATACACTGGGGCTGGTGAACGAGATTTTAAAGGATAGGAATTTACCTATCTTATTAGTTCATGAAAAGATATTCTTAACAATTGCTTACATTATTGAGCTATAAAACGTATTCGCCATTTTCACCACGCTCAAAAAAAATCGGGCATCCAAGCTCTTGGCGATAGAATTAGTTTGGCAATCACCCATTTCAGCTGATCGCCAAAGTCTAGGGTTATAAAATAGGCGGGCATTCAAGACAGTGCGAACATAAAAAGCGGCTCTTATATTTTTTATGCAAGTTGTAAGCTAGAATGACCATTTTAAATTATTGCTTAAAGGAGAGTAATGCTTCAATACGATCTGTCATTGGCTAGTGTAAATCTCGTGGTTTAAACTAGCCAATAAGAAACTTTAAACGTGTTTCGTTATAAACAAGCTGTAAGCTAACTTGCCTTTACAGCATAAATATTTTTCTATTCCATTTTACAGTTATCAACTTGTTTACGTTATTGTTATTTTGTATTACATATTTGATTAAAATTATATTAAATTATCAGAAAACTTACATGAACAACTCCCAATTAATGAATTATGGTACGTAATAAGCATCTAACAAGAAGTAAACTTCGTAAATGCCTTTAACTAACCTAATTGTTATATAATTACTATTATACTGATTTTCTGTTTACAAGTTAAAACTAAACCATGTTTGATTTTGATTATCTTGACCAAGACGAAGCCTATGATCCCGGATATTACGATGACCCTCCTCCGAAGAAAAAACGTAATCGTAATCCAAAAGGTAAACTTTTCAAATGCGAAGTCTGTACCAAAGTTTTATGTGACAATAGTAGCTTGATGAGGCATAGACTCATTCACACTGAAGAATTAACCGGGCAACCAAGAGAGAAACCTTTTGTTTGTAATGTTTGTGGTAAAGGTTACACCGAGAAGTCTACGTTGAGAAAACATAAAATCAATCATGTTGTTGCAAGGCCTGAGGAATGTACAATCTGTGGTAGAGGTTTTTATGATAAAGGAACGTTAAAGCGACACATTAGAACTATTCACGTTGACGAAAAACCTCATGCGTGTGACCAGTGTGACAGACGTTTTTACAGGCTTTATGATTTCCGTAATCATTATCGTATGCATACTAACGAGAGGCCATTTAGCTGTGACGTATGTCCGAAAAAGTTTACAACTAAAAGTAACCTAAATAAGCACTTGTGGGTTCACAAAGAAGAAAAGCCTTATGTTTGTGATAAATGTGACAGAGGTTTTGGACATTTAAAAACTTTAAAGTACCATAAATATACTCATGATGACAAAAAGCCATTTCCATGTGATCAGTGTAATAAAAGTTTTATTAAAGTTTTTCAATTAAATGCACATAAGATGTCCCATATGAATAAAAAGCCTTTTTATTGTGATATCTGTGATAAAGGTTTTACTTTGCGTCAAACTTATGTTGAGCATTGCAAGTATCATAATGGTGATAAACCATATGAATGTAATGTATGTTCAACACGTTTTAGCACTAGATCTAATGTTTTGAGGCACAAACGCAAAAAACATGGTGATTCTGAGCTATCTAAAGAAACGAACGAATCTAATAAGCGTAGACGAAAATTTAATAAGCCTGACGCATACACTTGCGATATATGTTATAAAACCTTTCATGACAGTTATAATCTTTCTAATCATAAGCGTCGTAAACATAACAATAATGAGAAATTTAAACAGCTCTATGAGTGCGATATTTGTCTAGGACTATTTCATGATGAATCGGAATTTATGGATCACCTTTTAAAACATGATGAAGAGAATATTTTTCCTTGCAACGTTTGTGAAGAAGAATTCTCTGCAGAAGAAGATCTCAATTTGCATTGCTTAAATCATAAACTCGAAGCAAGTGGTTCAGAAAAAAAATTGACTAATATTCCAGCGTTGCGTTCATTTGTAATGAGTACATATAGTGACGACAGCGAAGATGATGTAGGTGATTCGGATGAATCTGTTAGCAGCTCAAATTATCAAACTTATACTAATACTAAAAAAACACCACCTACCTGTACAACACCAAATATACATTACATTGTGTTAAAAAAAGAAGATACTAATTGACTAAGTTAAACAAGGCTGTATTGGATAGATAATAGCGAGAAAGAAAAATTACTTTTTGTGTTGTTTATCCTCCGAGACTGAATTTTTTTTTGTATTTGCACAGATTATTTAATAACAATGTTAATCATTTGAGACTAATTAGTATTTTCAATCAAATCAATAATTCTTTGTTTTTTAAATTTTAAAAAAAATTCTTATTCTGTTAGTTGAGTGATTCATATTGTGTAAATGAAATATCTAATATATAATATTTATTATCACTTGTATAATATAATTATATTCTCTAAATTATAAATGGTTTATAAAAAAAAAAACTACAAAATTGATAATATAGGAAATAATCAGATACCTTCTATCGTATCTAGGAAGTACACTCTGTGGTCCTCAAATGGTCTGTGTATAACCCTGTACCTAGCAATTAAACATTAATTGGAAAAGTTATCATTAAATACTTTATAACTCTTTTTCAAATTAACTTTAATAACTTTTAAAAAAACTCTAGAATTAAATTCGAAATGTTAAGATAAGACAAAAGTTTTAAATCTTAACAGTTTTTTATTTTTTTTAAAGAAAATCTTAAGTAATCAATGATATAGAAACTGAATTCATTTCGGCTTTCTAACTGCTAATTTTGTTTTCTTAGTTGTTCTTCCTAAAAGTTATGTACCCTTATTGTACAACTTAGTTCATATTAAATATTGTTGAAAATATATATTGTTAATGCTGGCTATAGGTAGGACTTGATTGCTTTCCTATATTACACAACAAACTTTTTAATGTTTTCAATTGTTACTCTATTTTGAACTGTTGCTAAACTATGTTGAGCCCTTTTAAATATTTTCTTCAACAAAGCCCCTTGGAAAATTCATAACTCATAAACTCTGTAGATTTCTACTTAAAGTTACAGACCAAAGTTATTATTATTACTAAAGTATTATCTTTTCAAATTTTGATTTACCAATATTATAAATGATAATTTTTTATTATTGCTGATGTGGACTGACTAGAGTTCTTGTAATGCAGGCAAAACTCTGGCAAATGCCTTACATTTACGACAGCTCTGTCGTGTGTGGAAAAGATTTTCAGCAAGAGAATTATTGTACAAACTTTTTTAGAAACCTTAACTGGTTGAATTGTTATAAAAGGCATGCTAATAAAAAGGCTAAACTGTTTTTATTTTTATTAATTTATTAGAACTTCGATAATTCATTTCTTTAATAAATACATGTATATTCTGCTATATAAAAGTATGATTGAATTGAAGGAAATAAAAAGTTTTTAAATTTTATAGCTTCTATTTGTTGAAATGCACTGCAAAAACTTTAAAAATATTGAGAATCATATAAAAGAAAGATAGCCCTTTTTATGTTGAAGTACAGATTAATAAATAGAAATAATTGATCAATAACTATAACTCCTGCTTCATTAATGTCCAAACAATAAAATTGTTTCTACTCTTATTGTAGTACAATCTTTACTATTTTTTTAATAATGAAATAAGACAAAATATTTTTTAAAAAACTTTTATAACAAATATTTTACTGTAGCCAGGGTTGGTGTGATTTAAATCATACTTTAAATTGCTATTTAAATCGCTTTTTTTTTTAAAGATAATTTCTGTTTATATTTTTTTTATCTCATTTGTATTAAATTATACCAAAATAATTTTTTTTACTTAAAATTTTAATTTTGTTGTTTAATTATAAACATAATTCCTCCATCTCTCATTCATATTTATAATTTTACAGAAGGTTAACTTTAAAAACTAACTTTAACTTTCAAAACTTTTATATACTAAATTAAGTTAAAATAAGAAAGAAATTTAATGGTGTCAAATATTTATAATACATTGTTTAGAAGAAAGTAACAAAAATTTGATGAAGCATTTTAATATCTTATTGCTTTAAACATCTATTTTCAAATTCAAAGACTATGGTTATTTTTTCCTGTAAAATTATTAAAGGTTGACAGGTAAATGCAAAAATTTATATTAATAGCACTCTTTATTTTATATGCATAGTAGACAATTATATTTAACAACAAAAAATATGTGTAACTTAAACTTTGTTTTAAAATATTCCTAAATTCTTGTTTCGTTACTAGTGATTAATTTTAATTCAAGCATTTTAGAATATCAGTATTGAATGTAAAATTTTCCCCCTAATCTTTACAGCCATAAGTTTGTTATTTATATAATGAGAAAAAACTGATTCAATGGTGTTATATAAAAAAAATTTTGATTTGTCAAATATGCAGTCCAATTAATTTCCTATTGTGACCAGTTGTGAATAAATCAGCTGCTCCATTCTCGCCAGGAATAAAAATAAGTAAAAATATTTTTTAAAACCCAAACATTTGAAAGAAATTTTTTTTTAAAATTATTCTCTCATTTAAAAATGTTTGATAAGCAATTTTAAAAAATGATAACCCAAAAGGCCATAGTTTTAATTGAAATTTAAAGGCTTGTTATTGTTTAATGTTTTTTCAGGAAATGAAGAAATAGTAAGCACTGACTATAAAATGACAATGCGTAATAACTTTTGACTTACTTGCATTTTTAGCTTTGCCCTGTTCTACTTTTTTTCAAAATTCTAATAATAATTTTCTTTGAAATGAATAATTTTATGAAACTGAAGTGGAGCGATATACTTGTCAATACAAACTTCGTTTTCTACATAATAAAAATTAGAAAAAAAGTCTCACGAGTGCATGCACTACAACATATGTTGTAGTGTATACTTTTAAATTTAAAAAAAAAAAAAAAAATGTGTTAATAACATTTAGCTAAGATTTTGTAAATAACACATTTAACACAATAAAAGATTTTAAAACCATGAAGATATTTCTAAGCACTTAGTAACTTTAATAAATATGTTGTGGTGTTGCATATAACATGTATTTCTTGTAAGATTAGTAAAAATTATTGTCAGAGATAAATATATATTGCTTATAAGCGAATCAACCTAATTTATTGATACTGAAATTTTTTTTAAAATATTTTTACTATAAAAAATGAAAACAAATTTATGTCAACAAATTTTTTTTAAATGCTTATTTTTTCTTAACAGTAATTATTATTTCAGAAATTATTTATAAATATTCTGAGAATATTTTGAAGAGTTGTATAAATGTTGCCCATGTTTATTTTTTTAAAACTAATAATCTTGATCTTTTCAATAATTAGAAAGATATGGAGTAATAAAACAGTGTATAATTTAATGATTATTCAAAGCAATATTTATTTTAATTCAATTTATACTTTGCAAGCTTTTATAAAAACTTTGTGGTGAAATAAAACTTTCCAACAGCATGTTCACACTTTCTAAGCATATCAGGAAAGGGATACAGTGATACTTAGTGTTTAATTTCAGGAAGTGTGTTATAACTTACAATAGTTTAGTTGTTCAAGTGGATATTGGTATATTACTTAGCTAATTTTGTAAGAATAAATAGAAATGCTTTTTACGGTGATAAATAAAATGTAATTCTTTTTGCCACAGTAAAATTACAACAAGAAATATATCTATCTTTAAATACAACGATACAAACTACTTAATGAATAGAAAATTTCACTCACAATAATCAACGAAAGATAATAGGAGCTAATTAACACCATCACAGTATGTATTTTTGTCTAAATGTTATCCTCAAACTTAACTGCTAAGACTATAAACTATAAGTGGGTTTGTAGAGGAAAAAAATCGTAATTTCCCAGTAAAGTGAAACCTGTTTGTTTTGATTCTTCAATAATTTGAGGATATTTAACTGCCTCAAAAACACAGTTAGGTTTGCTATGTAATAAAAAACAAATGCTGCCTCTTATTAAAGCCATTTTGGAAACCCATTTCATGTTTAGTCTGAATAGAAAATTCAGACATGAGTTGGCTTGCATAATAAACAACTCATGATAGGTACTAGTAACTAAACAGTGTACATTTTTGCCTATATGTTATCCTCAAACTTGGAAGAAAGAGGTTCAAATAAAAACCTACTGTTAGTGGAAAAAATTCTTAGTCCCCCATTTAAGTAAAACCTGCTGGTTTTGATTTTAAAGCAACAATCATTGACTTAATAAAGTCAATGATATCAAACTATAAAGTCTAAGTTTGCGACTTCACAAAATACAAAAATCACATGTTGCCTGTTATAAAAGCTATTTTGGAAGCCCATTTATACACTGGTGGACAAAATTAAGACATGGAAGACATTTTCCCAAATATCTCAAAAAATACTGAATATAAAAAAAATGAAATTTGGTATGGATATAGCTTATTCCATGATAATAAAGTATGCAAAACAAAAATGAATTCACTGGCAAGACCTATTGCCAATAAATCCAATGTAGTCTGAACTTAAGGATAAAAATGACAATAAAAGTGAGGCTTGTACAGTGTGTGTTTCCTCTAGTTTGGTGTATGGTCACCCCTGACAGACAAACAACATGCACAACGAGTATGCATGCTGTTATTAAGGGAGTTAAGGAGGACTTGTAGAAGACCCTCCCATTCTTCCACCAGAGCAATTTTTATCTCCAGAATGGTTCTGGGGGGAGGTTGGCGCATCGCAATAGCTCTCCCAAGAGCATCCCAAGCATGTTCTATAGGATTCAGGTCAGGGGATTTGGC